TCACACTCACTAAATGACCGTTATCGTGTTGATTATAATGCTTCAAGTCTTTTTTTATCGAACTGTAATGGAATTAATCTTTTATAATGTCTATTAAAGCAGAATACTCGTGATAAAGTAACTGAATATGAGCATGTTTGGCCACAAATAGATACACGTGTAGTTTATTCCACGTTCTTCTGTACACATGTGCGTTGTGGATGGTTAGTGGGTGCTCTGGTGTGCTTTGCTCCTTCTTTCCTATCAAACATCTGTCTACCTTATCTTTCTCCCTTCTTTTCTTTGTATGTTACTGTCTTGTTAAACTTCTAATCTTCGGTACTTATACGGTATACTTGTGTTTTTTTGCAAGTCTTGTAAAACTCTGACGTTGACTGTTTTTGGAATAGTGAAACAGAGGAAAGGGAAAAGTAGCAACCGACTACTGAAGGTCGTTGAAGGGCGACACTGATAGGTCCTACTTCCTTACTTTCTTTCTGCTGTTTGTGTCTTGTCTTACTTTTACCCAGCACCTAATGACAATTTTTGTGTCGATGTACTTCTCTTTACTCAAACAAACAAGACCTACGTATGGTGCCCTTCAATCACATGCGACCAAGGTCGTCACTAATTCCATTACAGCTTGTTCTCTTTCGTCTTACCGCTGTTAAAACAAGATGAAATTAAATCGCCGTGTTTAATCTTCTCAGATTTTTTGCACGTAGTTCTAAAAGTTTGATGACTATCATAATCTCAAAGCCCACCCGTGATGGTCATTGCAAACTAAGGTCCCGACACGTTTTCTCTGGAGTTAGCCTAAAGCAGGTTAAAAAATAATGATAAGGGGTTTACAGCGTAAAACTAAACTTTAAAAAAGGGTGATATATTATTTTCAACGCCACTTTTTTTTACGTACGCTTACGCGGTCCTGCAGACGGGTGAATACTTTCCGAGGCTCACGTCCAGACACCATGAAATATGGGGACAGGGTGGTGTCGCTGTCTCAAAATTTTAATGAGCTATTTGTCGGCTAGGTTACAGTAAATAACTTGTTTTAGTGATCCTGTGTATGCATGCAAAAAAGGCGATGTTTAATGTAGAGCCCAAATAAAGAAACTTTTATTACCGGATCAAGATTTAACAAAAAGAATTAAAATATTTGGTCGTTTCGCTGCAAAAGTGTCGTGCAAAGTTTCATGGGCATAGGTTAATTAGTAAATGAGCTAGAATTTTTTTAACGCGGGCAGACAAAAATGAACAAGCTATAACAAGATGAATAAATAAATATGCGTGTACATGTAGTTTATTCAGCTTGCTGTACATACGTGAATCGTGTGTTGACTTTCTCGTGTGTTTTCTCTCTCAGCCTGCAGCTGCTAAAGTGGACGTGACCAAGTTTGCCCACGCCATTCACATCTCTGAGAGTGACACCGATGGAGGTATGGTCTGGTTACAATTTAGCCTGTTGTGTGTGTATTTATGAATGAGACAGGGACGGACGGGGACACACACACACACACACACACACACACACACACACACA